CCACACCACAAATCAAAAACAAAGTCGGGGGGGGGGGGGGAGAGGCAGGCAGGCAGACAGACAGACAGACAGAGAGAACATACTAGAGAAATGATGGTCAAGATATTTCCAACTTGAGTGAAAACTCTAGGCCTGTGGATGCATCACACTCAAGCCCCAGGCTTGAAAGCAGAAAGGGGAAGAAGCCGACCACTGACAGGAAGCCTTGTGACCATCTAAGCTCTTGTCTTCAGCACAAGGCCAGTGGCCAATGCTCCTCCCACTCAGGTCTGAGTAGAGGACATCTTGGGTGTGTAAAGCATCCCCAGCTCAAAGTCAGGCCAAGGCCCCCATCCATGTTGTCATAAGGATCACCATCTGGCAAAAACATGCAGCATAGCCTCTGCCTGGGCTGCAGCAGTGAGTGTCCACAAATCCGTTCTTCTGCTTGGCTGCAGAGCCTCTGGAGCAGAGCCCCCAGGGCCTCCCATACAAGCTGCCCCTCGGCCTGGTGAAGAAGCCTCAGCCACAGTAGATTCCACACTTCCCAGAGTCAGGCCTCTCCACCCACATCTGGGCTTCTCTATACCACCCCCTCCCCAGATAGTCAAGAGCACTATTTGTGGTCACTGCTTCTGGCCATAAGCCAGGAAGAGACTTGCCAGGGAGACGGAATCACTGGCCACTCAGAGAGCACAGATATCTCCCATATCAGAAGCAGGAGCTGGCAGGGTTCATTTATAATCTGCTCAGTTGCAGGGGGAAGGAAGCAACTAATTACAAAAAAATAAAATACCCTGAAGGCTTCAAACCTCCCAGGCTTCATCCTTCAGCAAGATTCAGTCTTTAAAATCCTGCCGTTTTTTGTTTTATTTGGAGGCCCGAAAGCGTAAAGAAGGAAAAGAAGAAGGGAAGGAAGAATGGGATGAGGGAAGAAAGAAGAGAAATCCACCTGCTGAGCCTGGCTCTTAAAGCCCCACTTGAGGCAGACAAGAGTAAAGAACCCCAGAAGGTCCAGCCTTGTGCTGTCTGCACCAGAATGAGGGGCATGTCCAGTCTTCTACCTAAGATGCCCATTCTGTCCCCAGCCCAGATTACAAACACTCCTTATCATGTACAGGACAAGCCTAAGGCCCAAGGTTCCTTTCCCATATGCCACACCGATACCATTAAGATCTCTCAGGCCTTCAACAACCTGCTTGGCAGATAGCCCCTGACTCCCTGAAGTAACTTTACACCTGTGTGGGCTTCTGGGCCAGGGCACCAGCCAGGAACTCTTGCCTGTCACCACCTATCTACAGTGCACACAGGAGAGGACCAAGGACCTAATAGCAAAAGACAAGAGCAGCACTCCACCTGCAAGAGGGCTCGTCGGGGTGGATGGGCCCAGGGTGGAGCTGGGTGAGTGCCTGGGCCATGTGTGGCTCCACACACACCTGCAGAGGTAACCTCTGCCACACAGGCACCTGGATAGAGACGAACAGACAAAGCCCAAGGTCCCACTGGGCTGCCCAAGGAGGATGCACGAAGGACTCTGGGGATCACAACAACCAAGGTCAGAGAACACCCCGAGGACCTGTTGGCCTCTCCTTGACAGCAAAGATGACACATCATGAGAACCAGCACAGAAGAGCCTGGCCCAGCTGCTCCACCTCAGAAGCTGTGTTTGTTCCACCAACACAGGGGCCACCACAGAGCGAGAAAGGACAGCCCAATCTGTTTGCACAGCTGAAGCTTTCAAATCAACTCAAAAATCACAGTGACAGCAAAATAGGGATTGAGGTTCCCAGGCTGCCCAGTACTGACAGCTGCCCAGAGACGTGCTTGGCTAAGATGATGGCCTGGCAAAAAGGAAAACAAACTGGGACTCTAAGATAAAGAAGATGGGGCTCCCTCAGAGCCAGCCTGGGCGCACTTCCTGAAAAGGGGACCTCAGCAGAGGTACAGTCTCCCAAGCCTCGGTTTCCTTCTTCCTGGGTCTCCTGGTTCCATGCAGGTAACAGCCCCCAGGGCTGGACTTCTCACCCAGGCAAGCCTCAGGGTCCCCACTGTAAGGTGTCCATGCTCACTCCTTTTCTTACACAACTGTCCAAAGGACTAAGCAAGGCTGTGTCCTTACTAACAAGGTGGCTGAGTGGACTCACACAGGTGACCTTGCGATAGATCTGGGCAGCATTCTGGCACTCCGAATAGGGGTACTCTGAGGTGGCCATCTCCAGCATGCACATTCCGAAGGCGTAGACGTCAACGGACTCATCGTAGTGCTCCTCGTACATTTCAGGCGCCATGAACTCAGGGGTACCTGCACCAGGAGCAGCAGGCACAGCAATTACTGATCGTGGCCCTTTGGCCCCAGAGATGCTCCCAGCCTCCTCCACAGCTGTTCCATGCCCCATTCAGGATGCCAGTAAGGGCAGCAGACCCCAGGATTCAAGCAGCTGTGCCCTACAAACTCAAGTGTCCAAAACTTCACTGTATGGCTCCAGGGCTAGACACCAGTTTTCAGTGCCATTTTAACCCACAGGGTTGGAAACACAGTGTTCTGGTGGGCATACCTATTACCTGAACACACCCTGGCTCCTGTGTGGATACTGTACCTCTGAAAACAGGTCAGCGACAGCCAGTTCTCAAGTCTCCCCAGAGATGGCATAGACCTTTGGTTACCCCAGAGCTGTCTCTAACTGCAAAATCCCAAGAAGGCCCAGAGTGTCCCCAGAATGACTAGGTCTTTTGGGTTTAACTAACAATGATTGTGACATGCAACTATCACTTTTGGGGGATGGTGAACAAATGGCATCCACTTGACACATCCCACAGAGATAGTAAGTAAAGGACTGCTTGTGATGGTCAAAACATGCTAAAAGATAAGGAGTGCAGCCGGGTGTTGGTGGCACATGCCTTTAATCCCAGCGCTTGGGAGGCAGAGACAGGCAGATCTCTGGGAGTTTGAGGCCAGCCTGGTCTCCAGAGTGAGTGCCAGGATACGCTCCAAAGCTATAGAAAAACCCTGTCTCAAAAAACCAAAAAAAAAAAAAACCCTCGTCAAAAAAAAAAAAAAAAAAAAAAAAAAAAAAAAAAAAAGATAAGGACTGCTTGTAACACTCCAAACACAACAGAAGTAAAACAACGCTTGCCGTGGCCCCTATGTGCATGAACATGCATGTGGAACCCAGAGGATGACCTCATGGAGTCATTCCTCAGTGCCATCTCCTGCATCTGTTTTTCTCCTTTTCCTGTGAGTCAGGGTCTCTCACTCCTCTGGAGCTGAGTAAGCTAGGCTAGCTAGCCAGAGACAGAAAGTAACCAAAGTTTTGCTTCAAAACCAATAAATAAATCAAATAAATGAATAAATAAATAGACCGACTTTTTATTAAAATTCAGCTAGTCTAGCTAGCCTGCTTGCTCTGAGGACTCCATCTCTGCCTCATAACTAATACGACTACAGGCAGGCTGCCACACTACCTGGCTGTCATTCTAGCTTAGTTTCAGGTAAGTGCTGGGGGCCTGAACTCCAGTCCTCAAGCTTATGTGGCAAACGCTTTAACCTCTAAGCAGCCCCATTGGGGTCTCTTGCCTATTATTTCAGTTTGATATACATTGTAAGTCTAACCAAAAAAAACTGAAGAAATATAAAAATACATGTTTGGATTTATATAAAAGAACACAGAACTGTAGAAAAAGTCCATCAAAAATGACAGCAACAGGAAGAGACCTGGTGCTGAGAACTTCCATCCTTTTGTGCTCTTGAAATTCTCTGCCACTTCTGATTTTTAATATTTTTAGGTTTCATCCCATCCCTTGTCATAGAGTAGTGAGTGTGCTTCTTAGACCACAGAATGCATGACAGAGAGGTCCCAGGCAGGACAGCCTACAAGCAGAAGGGAGTCCAGGCCCTTCCCACCCCACCCCTTCATATGTCCCTGAAACCCCAGTACATCCTGAAGGGTTACATGGGCCTAGAGCACAGTGGCCACTCAGGAGGGTCCACCATGGTGGCAGCTGGAGCACAGTGAATGGGGCAGCTGACTTGGCCGGAAACCCCAAGTTTCAGGAAGGAAGGGTTCCCTCCCCAGGGCCACTTCTATTGCCTATAATGCCACCTCATGATGCCTCTGCCAGGGACTGTGTGGGACAAGTTGTCCTGTGATAACAAGGGAAACCACAAAGCCTTTTCCTGCTAGAGGGGCCAACAAAGAGACTCCAGGGGTGTGTCCAGGGCCCTAGACAGGACTGTGACAAAAGCCAGGCTCCCAGGACTTTGAGCTTAGCCCTTGCAGGAACCCCCACTCTTCTAGCAGAGACTCTACCCACCAGCTGGCCACATGGCATTAGAGTGAACAGACAGCAGTATACTTAAACTTGGACTCTGTAGGGACTGGCAAAAACCAAGGACCCTGCTCTGCAAGAAGTATCCCAGACAACCTGGCTCTGGGAAATGGGTTGAGTTGGAACTAGCTCTGATCCAGGATAGGAGGCCTAATGATTCCTAAACATAAGTGCACTTGCCTCATTTTTCCTTTCCATCTTACTAATTAAATCTGAATTCTAGAAATAACATGTACACATGATCATGCACATATGCACATGCAATTGTCTGGGTGGCTGTCCCACGTTCAGCCGTCAGCTGCAGAGGACCTTACCCTGGGCCCAAGGCAGCCTTGCACATCTGCCAGGCATCCCCAGGTCCCTGCAGATGAGTCTGTGTGAGAGTAAAAGTGGCAGTCCCCCACCCCCAGCCCAGGCCCAGCTGTTTTGCCAGGTGCTAGGGAACTTTCCTTACACCATTGCTCGCCAAGCTCCTCATACCAGAGTCAGGCAACACCTCTGCGGGTACAGCCCCTGGCCACCTTCTCCTTTCTAATGGAGAAGTAACTTCAGCTGTGGTTACAAGGCATTTCTGCCCCATAATGAACAGGAGAATGTGTGCTGAAGTCTGGCAGTAGTGGAGTAGGTAGGTTCCTGCTCCAGCTTAACACTATAATAACCCTATTGCCCATGAGAATTGCACCTAGAGTCTGTAATGAGAGACAAATTATTTCCTTCATGGGACTCAAAAGCTCTATCTCCTAGATTTCCCTTATCTTCTTGATTTTTGTTATAACAAGAACAAATTAACAATTGGCCCATCTCCTCACTGGGCAGGCAGAATCCATCTTCCATGTCCTAGGTGGACCCTACACTACCTGGAACTCCTAAGTACTTAGTGTTCCATCCACATGGTACCCAACAGCCAGGCTCTCCCTCCTACTCTCTACCTGGATGCCAAGGCCATCCAGGACCAACCAGTAGCTCTTTGAGCTACCCTCAGTTCAATCTGGCCTCTTTCCCATTTCACTCTTCAAGGGCAAGTTTACAAAACCTGCTTGGAAACTGCCCATCACCAGGACCAGGGTGTGGTCCCTACAGAGGTCAGAGCCCTGGTCACCAGGATGGAACACATAGGCCTTCACCTGACTCCACTCTTTCATAGACAGGTAAAGCAAGGTCTCGGTCAGTCCCTGCTCCCTACAACTTCCAAGGAGGCCGCTTGGGTCAGACACCTCTACAGCCCCAGGGCTCCACCTTGGCTGCAACTCATGCAGTACGGTATTTGCTTCATTCTCAGACCGTCCAAAGAGGGCATGGGGATTCCAGCCCCACCAAAGCAGCAAGAAATGCACTGAGGGTGTGAGGCCCATGCAGCCTGCAGTGCTGGGTCTACAGATGCACGTGTAACCATGTCTTGCTTTTTAAAACATGTATTTAAAAAAATAAAGACAATCCTGGCTTGAGGTAATAGCACAGTCCTAAGCTGAGGATGACACCTGGACTTAGGGATAGGGCTGCCCTACAGGCATATACAGCACTCTTGGAACAGTAGGAAGCCCCTGACCCTAACATGAACGTTCAAGGGAAAAACCAAGGGCCTGCAAGGAGAAACACTGAAGGTTACAGCAGAAACAGACCCACAATACCAATGGCTCCAGGGTGACACACACATACACATACCTAAGAGACAAACTCGGCATGTCTGTGAGGGGGTTTCTGAATTGAGTTAAGAAGGCTTTCCCTAAATGTGGCCATCCTATGGGTGGCATGCTAGACCACATAAGAGGAGAAAGGGATCTGAGTGCCAGCATTCATCTCCTTCTACTAACAGGCCCAAGGAGAAGCTCTATTTGCAGGACCTGGGGATACCAGAGTAACAAGCCTGGGGGAGCCCCCACCTGGCCTCAGCCTCCCCAGATGCTGGCACTTGTGGGGAACAGTCTCCAGCCAGTGCCCATGGGAATCCCCCTAAATGAGCCTCACTTCCCCCACCCCACGAACAAACTCCTGATCTTTCTGATTTAACTTCTTGGGCTTCACTAAGCAAAAGCCAAGGTCTCAAGGGACATCCCACAGAGCTGGGTACTCATGAGGGTTCGGTGACTTCTTGGGCCTGCCAGAAACACCTGGCCTTCCTTTCAACTCACTCTTATCACCCAGGCCAGAAACGGGAGGCCTTGTTTCCAAACAGACAAAGAGCTCACAGCTGTGGGACACGGAGACTCAGGTTCCTTAAGTGGAATGAATCTTGCTCTGAACATTTATTTTTGAGATGGGTGACTCTGAGGGGCCCTCCTGTCACCTGTCAGGGTCTAAGGCATGCAAAACAAAACCTGGCCATAAACATCCCAGAGGTCAGAGCCAGGGTACAACACCCCACAGCCCTAAGCCCTCATCCATTTCTCTTCTTTTTTATGTGGAGGTGAGTGTGTGTGTGTGTGTGTGTGTGTGTGTGTGTGTGTGTGTGTGTGTGCGCGCGTGCGTGCGTGCGTGCGCGCTCGAGTGTGTGTACACATTAACAAACCAAATCCTCTGGAGCTGTAGTTACAGACGATTGTGAGCCACCTGATGTGGGTGCTGGAAACTAAACTTGGGTCCTCTAGAAGATCAATCCATGCTTTTAAACTGCTGAGCCATCTCTCTAGCCCCAGTGCTTGGCTTTTTTAGTCTAGGTCCTGGGGATTTGAACTTGGGACCTTATGGTTATGCTGCAAGTGCTCTTGCTAGTTGGGCTATCTTCCAAGCCTAGTCCCACCTATTTTCACAGATAGGAAACAGAGACTTAGTCCAGCTTTCCACCACTCTAATTCTACCATAAGGAGACCAGAGATCAGTTCCAAAGACACTACTGCAAATAAAGCAGCTCTCCAAGATCATCAAACAAGCTACCTTTGTTGCCCAAACAATTCCTGGGGACTTGAGGCCAACTACTCCTTGTCCTGTCCATGTGTGTAATCAGCCTCGATGGAGGGGCATACCTGATTTCAAGATAGGCATGAGCCCCAAAGCAATCGTTACTACAACCCCTCTACATTTCTTTCCAAAGCCCACACAACCCTTCCCAGTATCTGGTAGACACTTAGTGCTATGCTAGTCACTTCAAAGTTGGGCACACGGGATCCAGAGCCCCTTATCCTTACACACAGCTGCAGGCTATTATCCCTAGGACCCAGAGCAACATGCCCTAAAAGTTGACCAGGAATGTCTCTCAGAGGAGGAGAGGCCTGGAGCCAAGGCCTGAGGACAAGAAAGGACCCAAACCCCCAGCACCACCTTCCAACACCATGTAGACACCATGCTGGGCCTCTGATCTACCTTTCTGACCAGACACTCCAAGTTGTCATTTCTTCGTGTCCCACAGCCTTGGGGTACTCCTCCCCCTAACTGCTGGGAACAGGTCCAATACCACCTGCCACAAGCAGTGTTATTCCTCTGTGGCAATACTACTTCCTCCTCCTGAGCAGCTGTGGTGTCCACCACAGCTCTGAAGTTGGCATCTAGCCCACCACTGTTGGTAGATAATCATAGGTGGTACCTAATACAGCCAGGGATCTGATGCAGAGACCACCCCACCCCTAAGTCTGACAGAAGAGGTCTCAGTGGGAAACAAAGCCAGTATCTCCAGGCAAGCTGTAAGTGTGTTGCCCACTAGGCAGGTCCTCTGGCTGAGTCACCAGAGTCCAGGGACTGCTTGGATACCCTGTCTGCACCAGGTCTGAGCAAAACCAGGTATCAGTGGCTCCTTGAATGCCATGTGGTTCCCCTATGGGCCTAGGGAGAAGAAACAGGCTCACCTATCACACTTTTGGCAAATGATGCTCTTTTAAGGGTGGCCAGGCCTAAGTCACCAATCTTCACAGAGCCGGTGGGTCCAGTGATGAAGATGTTGTCACACTTGAGGTCTCGGTGAATGATGGGGGGTGTCCTCGTATGCAGGAACAGCAGGCCCTTCAGGATCTGCCGGCACCAGCTTCGCAGTACCTTGGGCTTCATCACCTTGAAACGCTTCAGGTACCTGGGGGAAGGGCAGAGCTCACCAAGCAGCTCACCTGCCACTGCCTGTGGGAAGCCCCCGTCTGGCAAAGTCCAGCCACATGCCTCTGGCAGCTACATGGGACAGGCAGCAAAGTGGAAGAGAAGATGCTCACAGCTCTTCCCCTACCCAGGGTATCAGGCCTGGAGCAGGCAGGTGAGCCAAGACCCCAGCTCTCCACTGGCTCTTTGCATTGGAGACCTTGCTACCAAACTCATGCCTAGCACAGCTTTAATTTCCTGGATGTGATAAAAAAACAAAACAAACAAACAAAAAACCCACCAAAATGGAGCAGGGTCCCAGACTAGAGTGTGAGTGACAGAGGAATACCTACAGTAAAAGGTCAAGAAGGCCAGGGTATCCGTGCAACAAGCTACCTGTGTGATGAACCTGGCTTCACCCAGGAGGAAGTGACAGGTGAGGATGGGAACTAGGATTTCTCTCACTGAATCTTCACATGAGAGTGAAGCTACCCAGAAGCAGAGGACGGGCATCAAGGTCCTACTTATGGCCTCAGGGTTAAAATGATTCAGAGGAACCCAAGCTATGGCCACCCAGAAGGGACATCACCTCACCCCCATAGTACAGACCTCAGGGAAGAGTGGCAAACTGCCCTGGCTTCCCAGCTCCCAACCCCTTGCTGTGTTCTGTTTGGCCCTTAATGTCTGCATTATGCTTCCAGAATACTAGAATGTGCCAGGCTGGCCTCTAGGCAAACAGACATTGGCCAGAAATAAGGTCCCAGACAGAGCAGACAAAGGAGCCATGTCATTGGGAAGTAAACAGCCTTCAGTGTCCCACACAGGAAGGGAGAGTGGGAACACTCGTGTGGTCATGAGACCCAGTCTCATTTGTCACAAGAAGCCAGAGGGAGCCAAATGCCAGGAAGACGACTAGGTTTGATTCTTCTCACTTGGAGAATGGGTTCCCATGGCCTAGAGAAAGAATATCACTCAAAAGCAACATCTGAATGGGCACTGGATCATACACACCAGCCAGATTAGCCCAAGCATCCCAGTATCTGTTACTCTAGCTGTCACAGCCCCACACCCAAGGCTACCCCAGCCCACATGTGTGCAGCACTTACGTCTTCAGTGTCCCCGAGGTCATCAGCTCTGTTACTAGCACGATACATCGCTTTCCCTTGGCGCTAGACTCCCAGAAGTCATAGAAGCGCACAATGTTGGGGTGCTGCAGGCCTTTCAGCATCTCCGCCTCCTCTTTGAACCGCTGCCTTTCAAGCTTGGTGAGCTTCCGGTCCTAGAGCCAAAGACAGATGCACTGGGTGGGTGGTGCTCTGGCTTTATCTGCTGCTCTCCCTTCTTCCAGGAGAGTACAGCAGGTGCAGGGGGCAGCAGGAGCCTCAGCAGTGTCATGTAGCAGAATCCACCCTTCCTTTCTACCCATAGTGACCAGTGGCACACCACAGCTAGGCCCCTCGGCCCCACAACCCAGATGCAGCCCCTGCCTGGGGCCCCTTTGTTAGAAATTGCTCCAGGAAGCCAGAAGCAGCTCACGCCCCAGGCTGCCAAGATTTTGCACTTTTTCCTTGCAAACACCTCTAGGCCTCTGCTCTCTCCAGTGATCACTCTCTCTCAGAGAACGTGTTAAAGGGATGAAATGTCAGTAGCGGGAGGTGCTCAAGACTCTGGAGACCTCAGTGGAGGGGAGATGACACATGCCAGAGACCAGCACTGAGATGATGGAAGACCGACTTGGCAAAGCCAATCCTGAGAGCAGGCAGCCCGGCTGTTGGAGCAGGAAGAAACATGCTTCACCTGGCCTTGGGCCACAGTGCCCGGCCAAGACATCAGAGCTAATCTGCTGTCCCAAAGTTTACAACAGAGCAGTAAACACATCACTGTAGGCCTAGGGATGTAGCTCCATGTACACACAGAGTGCTTGCCCACCATGCCCAAAGCCCTCTAGTTCAACTCCCAGCACTCAACCAACAAGGCCTGGTGGCCTACACAGTAAGTGGCCTACACAGTACTTGGTAGGTAGAGGCAGGAGGATCAGAAGTTCAAGGTTTTTATCTTCAGCTGTGTATCAAGTTAGAGCTTAGCCTGAGCTACATGAGAGCCTGTCTCAAATTAAAGGTAAACAAACAGAAGAAAAACCACCTCATTGCTATCTTGAAACTTTTCAACAGGTGTATGAGCTCTGCCCTCTGCCTTAGCCTCATTAACCCCTGCTGCCTACCTAGACTCTGGTCCTTCCCTTTCACAAATCCATCAATGGATTCTCACCCTGAAGAGCTCACATGTCCCCAAGTGCTAATCTGTGCTTCCAAGCTCATCTCATTAGATGCCACCAGCCATGGCCTCAGGGTGGTCTCTCTTCAATCTGTAAGCACAGTAAGACCTGAGCTCCACCCAAGTGATGCCCAAAGTCACCTTCTAACCCCGCCTCCCCAGCCACACACCCCAGAAACACATGAGTATGAGAAGAGGGGTGTTTATATTTCCAAAGGAAACTGTTAACACAACTAAACACAGAACACAGAAACTTGGAGGAATTCCAGGAGACAGGAAGCAGGTGGTTTGAGATAGACCGGGGAGAAATCAGAGCTGAAAGGAAATATAAGCAAAGATTCCCAAGATCCTTTTGGAAGGTCCCACACAATGTCAAGCCAGAGGCCAATAGAAGCAGCAGTCCATAGGGTCATGACAAGAGTCACTGTGTTAAGAAATTATTCCCCCCATGACAGCTGTACCCATTAGGCCAGATCCCTGCCCCATGGCACAGACCTTCACCTAACCCTCTGCTCATCGTGAGATTAGACAGTTGCCATCATCAACAAAGCCAAACAGCCAAGAGAAATCACCAGTGCAGCCAGTACCAGAAATACAATCATTCAGAGACTTCAAAAACATCTAATTAATGTTCTCCCCATGAAGACCCAAATAGTGCATCGGCACATACAAAAGCAAACTTCTATTTTAAAAGAAACTCTCCAGAAAAGAGCTCTTACAAATTTTGAAAGCCGGGTTGACCTTATTTAACATAGAAAATATCCCCTAATCCAATGAAACAGGAAGTACAAAAAAACGTTAATCTCTAATCTAGATAATAAAATGGTAACATGTTCTACTTATTAAAATCACTGTTTATCTATGATAATGAAAGCAAAGTTTCCCTGATTCACACATCTGACAAAGGACTTGGCCCTTGAATGTAGACAGAACTTCTATAACTGATGCAGACAGACAGATGCTTCACCAAATAACCTACAGAAATGGCCAATCCCTCAGCAGCTTCATACTAGCTCTGGGTCCCCTCACTCTCCTCCTACAGAAGGTCCACAGAGAGAAAAGAAACACAAGTCCTCAAAAGATGGGCACAGGGGCTGCTCTGCAATAGCCCCACCAAGCTTAGCAGAAGGATCCCAGCAGGTGAATAGAAACACTTTGGTGGCACTCCCACAAAACCAGTATACACCTCAACATCTAGAAAGAAAAAAACCTGGATGGAAAAACCATTCTGGCTCTCTGGCCAGCTGAAGGCAAGATGGGTCACCAGCAGCTCTACTGGAGTCACCCTCAGAAGTTCGGCCAGGGCTCTCGCTCTTGCTCTAACCGCCACGGTCTGATTCGAAAATACGGGCTGAACATGTGCTGTCAGTGCTTCCGTCAATACACGAAGGACATAGGCTTCATCAAGTTGGACTAAGCAACCTTGAATGGATTATTCAAGACTGTCTATCCAGTGAAACAGATCATGCTAGTCTTTGTACATAAAGAATTAAAAAAAAAAAAATGGAGACCTTCAAAAAAAAAATTCTGTGTGAGTCTCAAAAGCATCACTCCAAACTAAAGAAGCCAGACATAAGCTTCTAGTGGGAACCCATTTGATAGGGAACTGGTATTAGATAAACTAATAACAATGGGGTCGCCTTCAGAGCAAAAGCTACCTCTGCAGTGGCCAGGGTCTGGAGCTGAGAACTTGGTGGGTGGTTTTGCGGGGAGGTGAAGGACGGTTTTTTGTTAGTTTGGGAAGAACTGGGGATGGAATCATCCCCAAGTAGTAAGCCTGTTCTTGCTACTCAAATGCCCTACCACTCAGCTACAGCCCAACTCATGTTTGTGTTGTGTGTGCGCATACGAGTGCTTAGGTGCACAAGTATATGAAAGCCAGAGCTTTTTGTGTGTGTGTGGGGGGGGGGGGGAGACAAGGTCTCTCTTTGTAGCCCTGACTGGCTTCAAACTCACAGAGATCTGCATGCCTGGGTCTCTGTGAGCACTGGGATTGAAGGGGTGAGCTGCCATACCTATCTGGTCTTGGTTCCTCTGAGACAGGGTCTCACTCTGAAACCCAGAGCCCACTGATTTGCCTAGTCTAGCTAAGCAGTTTGTTCCAGGGATTCTCTGTCTCTCCTTCACAAGTAACGGGATTAAAAGCAGGCTGTTCCATTCACCCTGTTTACCTACTCACTATACAACAGTTGTAAACTCTTGTTATAATGCTTTCACAGACAGTGATTAAACAACTGAGCCGTCTCTGCAGCTACCAACTTGAAATTTTAAAGTGCATATTTCACTGTTTATAAATTATACTTCAATTCTTAAAATGTAACTAAAATATAAAAAGCTAAAACTATTCAAAGACCAAATGAGAAAGGTAAGTCTAAAAGGAAAAAAAATGAGAAATATTAAAAGATAGGAAAGAACTATCTGGAAGACAACTATGTAACTGTGGCACTAAGAGGAGACAGCATGAAATGTATTCAGAGGAATAGCATTTCCCTGAATTAAAAGGAGAATGATTTAGGATAAAAGGGCCTACTGAGGTCAGGTCAGTAAATGAAAACTGGCCCATCCTCCAGACCTGTCCCAGTGAAACCTCAGAATCTTGAGGCCTGAAAAATTTCCTATCTGCAAAGAAATGGCCCAGGTGGCGGCGGCGGTGGTGGATGGAATCAGCATTACTGGTTGTGGGGAGGGCAGCAGCATCCTCAAAGTGCCGACTAGGAATTCTATACCCAGCCAAATGCACACCTATCCAGGCTCACAAGACTCATTTTCCCACATGCAGGAACTCAAAGGCGACTTCCCATGACCTCTAGATGAACTGAGCTACTGCAAACAGAAATGGATACGTCAGGGTTGGGGAACCAGCTCAACAGGCAAAGGAGCTTGTTGTACAAGCATGAGTTCCAATCCCCAGAACCTATGTAAAAGGGCAGGTATGGTTGTATGCATCCAGGACCCCTAGACACAGTGCTATAGGAGGACGGAAAAGCTTGTTTGTCCGCCAGCCTAACTCCAGGGTCAGTGAGAGATCCTACCCCAAGTGAGTAAGTAGGAGAATGATAAAGCAGGACACGCAACATCCTCCAGCCTCTACAAGGGCATATGCGCCTGCATGCAGACACGCGCACAGAAGCCACACATATTGCAAACACACACAAAAGGAAGGCAGCTGACTTGACCTTTCTGGTCACTGATGAGGCAGGTGAGAGGATGATGGATCCTGGGCTGGCTCAGAGTCCCCACAATATTCTGTCTCCAATTCCCTTCCCATGGGTCTAGTTAGTGGCTTGAGAGCAGTCTCAGAGCACCATTAAAATCTAAGTTATTTTATAGTATTCATCATCAACCAACAGCAGCATATACCTCAAAGTGCAATGCCCAAGTTGTAAATAACAAAACTAACACACACATGGAGGGGGAGACGACACTGTGCATAGGCTATAGTTGTTTTCCCTGTGTGTGTGTGTGTGTGTGTGTGTGTGTGTGTGTGCATGCACACGTGTTTCGCTAGCTATAGAACCCAGGGCCTGCCACACTATTACTGATGCCAAATAGCTAGAAGCAATAAGTTAAAGACACTCAAGTAAGTCAAAGGCTGTTAGCTATGGTGCCTCTAGGACTGGGACAGAAGCCTGGGCAGAGACCTTATTATACGTTCCATGTCACTAGGATGTTTTTACCAAGGTGCCATATCCCTCGGTCATTTAAGACCGGATCTCACATGCTCTTCTGAGCATGGCTCACTCTCACCGGGTCATGCGAGTCATCTGCATCCATTGCTCCACTATTGGCTGATCATGCAAAGGGAAGACAAAATGGCAGCCTCCAAGGTGGGGGAAAGGCCATTCAGGGGTACTCAGATCAGGTCTCATGGGCTAATCCATGCTTCAGGCAACCTGGAGACACACACCAGAGGGAGCTTTTGATATTAAGAAGGTCAGAGGTTGCTGGGCAGTGGTGGCACACACCTTTAATATCCCAGCACTTGGGAGGCAGAGGCGGCTGGATCTCCATGTTCAAGGCCAGCGTCCTCTACACAGCATGTTCCAGCAAAGCCTGGGCTATACAAAGAAACCTTGTCTCAGAGGTTGCTGCCTAGAAAGTGCAGTGTGTCTGCAGGGCCACTCCTGTAGCAACCCAGGGCCACAGTGACATCACAACAGCCCCAGTGGGTAATGGCTGAGGGAGTCGGGCCCAAGAGGGACACATCTGCTGTTCCTGAAGAGTGCAGTGTCTTTCTGTATCGAGGGAAGAGAACCATGCCTTCTGAGGACAGACAGAGGGCGAGAGCCACACTCAGGCTGCGGTGACAGGGTGCTGACTAGCACTGGCTAGCACTGGCTAGCACTGGCTAGCCCCAGCACAGTGCAACTGGTGGCAAGCCTTTGCAGAGGATGTGCTTGTGGTCTGAGTCAAACCAAAGAAACATGAGAGGATTTTTCTTTAAGCCATAAGGAAGGATGAAGATGTGTTATTTGTAGAAAACTGATGTAATTGGAAGTCATAGAAGAAAATTACATCTTCACAGAAAGACAGTATTACAGGTTTGCTTTCATCTGTGGGTGCTCAGATTCATGCAGACGCATAAAACCATGTACATACAGGAGACACAAGAGGAGAAGTGAAGCTGCCTAGGAGAACAAAGGGAACCACTGGGAAGAGAAGGGACCTCGAAAGAGAGGAGGATGTGGGGAATATGCCCACAGTGTAACTATTATATACTTCCATGAAGATTTTTTAACATGTATGGTTATTTTGCTTTGCATGTATGTCTGTGTACCATGTGCATGCCTGGCACCTGCTGAGATCAAAAGAGGGTGTTGGATCCCCTACAACTGGAGTTACAGATGGCTGTAAGCCATCATGTGGGTGCTGGGAATTGACCCAGGACCCAGGTCCTTTGGAAGAAAAAGTGTTGTTAACTGCTCAGCCATCTCTCCAGCCCTCCAATCATTTTTTTTAAGCAAACACAGGCTCTGGAGTCTGGGCCCAGAGCTATCCTATGCAGGGAGACAAGGCCCAGTTTGGGTTCCAACTATTTTTGACAGAATGGGGTTGGAGGTCCCTGAAGAGCTATGGCCTACTCAAAGACTCATCTCCCTCATGCCACTAAGTGTGACACCCAGTGGTGCCACCATCCTGGGGCCAGCAGGCATCTGGTCAGGTAGCTCCAACCGCACACCTGGGTCTCTTCTGTCTCCTCGTCCCCGAGACACCCCAATATCCCAGGAGGCTCGGTGTCCCTACACATTCCACATGGTTCTAGAATACAGGGCCTTTCCCCACTCTCAGGTTCCCAGGGTTTGAACCACGTCTTCCATCCCTGCTGGGGCCAGAGCATGCTCGCTTCCCTCTCACAGTCTGAAGCAGGTGAAGCGTGTAATCTAGAGGTCTGTGGACCGGATGAGTGTAGAGAGAGCAATGTCTGGGAGGGTGAGCCACTCTCTCCTCCAAGCTCTGCTCCAGGTCAGGATCTAGGCAGGCAAGAAACCTTAGGGGAAAGTCAGCAACAGACAAGAAATAAACATACAGTTACCCACTGAAACAAAAACAAGACCAATGGGACAAGTGGACAGTGCCAGCCAGGGCACCCAGCCCCCAAATAGAATCCTCTCTGTAGGCTGCCTGGGAGAACTGATTCCTACTCTATGTAAGGCACAGACAGGGACAGTATTTCTGCATAGAGACCTCTGGGAGGACATAATGAAATGAGACCACATAAGTTATATTGCAAGCAGTCTGGGGGAAGGCCCTGGTCATCAGTGGGTGCCAGCTTGTGAATGGCTCGGCAAGCTGGTCTCATGCTCCCAAAGGTTGGCAGTCTACATCTGGTACCTCTACATCCAGAGGAGAAAGCTCCTGGTTCTCTTCCCTCCTATACCAGCTGCAAGGGTGAACCCCAGCCCCTCTTAGCCTCATCCTGGCAACAGACATGTTTATCGCGAGGAGCTAGAGTGTCTCAATCGGTGTTTAAGAAACGACACTGCCATCAAGGTCAAAGTGCTCCTCACAGCTACCAGATAAAAACAGCGGGTATAGGCTATAACCCAGAAATCCAGATAGTGGTTGATATGCACCTAGAGTCAATCTTTGAAAGAGACTCCAGTCATCAGTGCCATATTCCACTGTCCACCCCATGAGTCCAGCATGTGCTCAGATTGAGAGCTCAAGATTCAGGAAAGGCACCAGCCAGTAGGCACTTCCCACACTTAGCCTTCTTTGTCAAGAGCACCAAGAAGTTCAGTTATCTGAGACAGAAACTGTACTTGAATGTCTGGCACCTTGCTGCCTTTGAAAATGATGATATTTTCTTTAGAAGGGAAGGGATGGGGGCAGAGAGAGGATGATGGTGTCAGGTGACTCAAGGCCTTGTTCTCTGTAAGGCCTGATCCTAGGATTGCAGTCAGCCACTGACAGAAAGATATGTACCCTCACCAAAATGAAGCAAGCCATACTGTAGAGTAATTTAGATCAATTTTTAATATAAACATC